GATTTCCGACGGGTTCCTTCTCCTTCACACGAGAGGAAAGGACTTGTTAGTTGTGCCCCAAGATCGCATCTTACGGACTCGTCTTCTCGGTGAATTCCACGACGCACGACTTTCGGCACACCTTAGCGTGAACCGCATACTAGCACGCCTTTGCCAGCGTTTTCACTGGCCCGACGTCCTTCATGACGTCACGAGGTACATTGAGTCATGTGCAGTTTGCCACCATAACAAGGGTCGATCTCGATTCCCCTTCGGCGAACTGAAACCGTTGCCGATCCCTCGGGCACCACGCCTCTCCATTGCTAAGGACGTGACAGGCCCGTTTCCCCGCGATCGCCACGGCCATGACGGTATTCTCACGGTCGTTGACCGTTTGAGCAAGTATGCTCGCTTCCTTCCTTGCAAGTATCATGCTGCAGCACCTGAGCTAGCACGACTCTTGCACACCGGTTGGATTACCAACCAGGGTGTTCAGGAAGATATAGTGAGCGACCGAGATACTCGCTTCATGTCGGCCTTTTGGACTTCTCTCATGACTGAGTCCGGCACGACAATGAAGCCGAGCTCGGCTCGGCACCCGCAGACGGATGGTCAGACGGAGCGAGCGCACCAGACCGCTCAGATGATGTTGCGTACACTCATCCGTCCCGACCAGAAAGATTGGGTTGACCGACTTCCCGACATCGAATTCGCCTACAACACTTCGGTGCACCCGGCGATCTGCGTCACACCATTCGAGCTACATCATGGTGGAGAGAAAGCACGGATCTTCGCTGATCTCCTTTTGCCACAGGCTGCCGAGATAGACGTCCCTTGCTCTCCCGCTTTCGTCCGGAAGTACCGGGACTTGCTGATCAAAGCCCGCGCAAATATGCAAAAGGCTCAGATCCGCATGCAGCAGCAGGTTAACCGACGTCGACTTCCATGTCCTTTCCGCGAGGGAGACCTTGTTTGGGTCCTCTCCGAGGAATTTGCGCTCGAGCAGGATGTTTCGCGCAAACTCCTTCCAAAATGGAGACGACCCCGCAGGTCCTTCCTTCGTGATCAACATTCCACCGCACCTGACAGTGCATCGGGTCTTCCACGCATCGAAGCTGGAAGTTGACCAAGTCATCACGCACCGCAAGTATGGCAACAAGCCAAGGCAGTACAAAGTCACATTCAAGCAATGTGCGCCTGATGACACTCGGTGGATCTCCTGTACAGATTTGCAGACTTCTGCACCCCTCATCTTCGCTGACTATGAGAAGCGACGCCTTGCTAAGGACGCAGCTCGTCCCGCCCGACCCACCCTGGTATCGGACAGACAACTTCGCCCTCGCAGGTAGCTCAGTCTTTTAAGAGGGGGAGTGTGTTACATCTTCGACGCACACGGGTCCTACCTGACCCGACTTAGGGCCGGAGGGACACATCAAGGCCTAAAGGCCCGACCTTGGGTTATTACAGGCCCTCAGGGCCTGATCTTGGACCAGTACCCGACGGGCAGGCCCAAACGGCATTATCGTTTGGGCCTGGCGGCGCTCTTGAGGCTGCCGCCCGCCGGTTGGGGCTGAACCGTCCATCTGGACGGTTCAGGGCATGGCCAGGCCTCGCAGCATTGAGGCCGGCCTCTGCCCCACCGGTATAAAGTGCCGGTACAGCCTCACTTGGAGGCATTGACCTACCGGCACTATACCGGTACGGTATGGTCAGCGCCAGAGCGCTGTTTTAATGCGCTAAGATAGCGCAGGAGCGAGCGAGGAGCAGCAGCGGCAGCGCAGCATTAGTGCAGCGGCAAGCAGAGCAGCAGCAGGGCGACTGAGCCAGCACGGCGGCCATTGCCGCCTGAGGTACCTGGGAGCGGAGGACCTCGCCTCCCTCCCTCGTCAGCTCTCTCTCTCTCTCTCTC